TTGTTGAGATTTTCTACTTGCTTCAAGAGATAATGAAATTACTTATTAAGAATTTTTGTGATAGCTACAGTAAAATACCTGCCAGATAATTCTAACATCTGACTCACCTTGGTGTTGGTATCAGTTGATTATCTTAGTGTGATTTTTATTGTAATCTGGATATTTTGACTATTATGTCAGGAGATTCTGATTCCTATTTAAATTTCATTTTAGCAGGTAGTCACTGTTTAGGTTTAGCACATAGTTCCTAGCCTGCTTCTGTAGGCTGTGATTCCAGTGACAAGTGATGCTTCAGAGACTGTATGGTACTATTTTGATTTGCTTGATGAATGTGATATTGATGGGTCCAATGATCCAAAACAGGGCCTTCCCCAGACAAGGTTGCCTGGGGAAGTGAGGGGGTTGGGGTGTGGTTCTGTTCTGTGAGAACAAAGGATTTTTCTTATGTCTGCTTGTTCTAGTGGAATTCTCTCTGCCAGCAATGTCTATCTTTCTGGTACAGTATCTCTCAGTGGGAGAAGGGATCCTGAAGGCCATGGGTACCAAAAGGTTTCCTGAGATAGGTTACCTGTTGAGGTGAGATCCCCCCTTGATGGTGTCCCTGGTTTTACAGTATCTTTAGTTGGAGTAAAGGAGTCTCTGGCAAGGTAGCATAGGACAGCATTTCTTCTAGCTGCTTATTATCAGTGGGGTTCCCAGCTAGATCCACTTTGCTGGAGTAGCCAGCTTTACCTGGTATTGTTGGAAGGTCTCCCATTCAATTCAGCAGAGAAAGGAACCTCGTTGAGCTACCATTTTTGCTAGGTTGGAGGCTGGAAATGCTGGGCCTGGGTTGCCTCCATCTTTTGAGCTGAGAAGAGTAATGAACCCTACTATTATGGTGTTCCTCTAATCCTGGGGTTCCTAATCATTCTGCCCTGTCCTTCATAACTTTCAGAACTCTCCTTTAGTCATCCCTTGCATTATTGACTGGATTTATGGTTATAGTACTTAGCTAGGAGAAACAGGGAAGTATGAGCATGTTACCTTCAACCGGATTACAAGAGAGGACTAATTTTGTTTTGGTTTCTGCTGCTGCTTCTCCTAGGAATGACACAGGCTTTCACATATCACCCTTTCTTGGGCAAAGAGGATTTGATTTGGTTAATATATCAAACCCCTAAAGGTGTGAGTGAGTGTTTGTGTGTGTGTGTGTGTGTGTGTGTGTGTGTGTGTGTTTGAGAAGAATTGTTGATAGAAATCACCCCTGAAATAACTACTTTACAATAGGCAAACACTCTTATAGGGCACTGAGCTAGCTGAGCATCTATCTTACCTATAAGATATTCCTATGCCACTATTCACAGAATGATCATATTTTGAGCAATAAGAATAATAAATTTTAGTAATTTCAGACACACTAGAGGTAGATAAAATGATTTTTAGATATTCTCCTCCTTTTGTATAAAATCTTGCAATATAGTGTATTACATGCTATGTGTAGGACTGATCTTCAAAGAAAATGAGATGGCACTAGAGAGGACTGCCTGTGGCAGGTTGAAAATATTCCCCTATGATGCCCATATCCTAATCCTTAGGATGTTAATTTACATGAACTTTACAAGTGTGATTAAATTAAGGACATTAAAATGAGATTACCCTGGATTACCCAAGGGGGCCTAATCTAATTATAGACTCATTGTAAGAGAGAGGCAGGAAGGTCAGACTCAAGAAATACTATGTGACTATGGAAGCAGAAGGCCGAGTCAGAGATAAATTAAAAGATGCTATGCTGCTACCTTGGAGAATGGAAAGAGGAGCTTTGAGCTAAAAAGAAATAAGCAGTCTACAGAAATCCAGAAAATGGCTAGTTTCAGATTTTGATAATATATTTGTATTCTTTTAAACCACTAGGTTTGCAGTGATTTATTATAGCAGCAATAGGAAATAAAGATACTGACAGAAGGCAAATGACAATCAGAGGTTAGAAGTCAAGGGGTATTGTGCAGTACTTGGAGGATCAAGACTGCTGTGCAAAGATGCTAAGAACATGAAACTAGTCCGAAAACATGAAGTCTCAGAAGAAAGTGTCTCAGTCTAGCCCAATGTCTATACCACTGCTGTCCAATAGAACTGCTGTGACGATGGAAATGTTCTATATCTCTACTTCCCAATATAGTAGCCCCAAACATGTGACTACTGAGTATTTGAAATGTAGATAGTACAATGTATAAAATAAATTTTTAATTTCATTTTTTCATAATTTAAATTTAAAAAGCCACATATATCTAGTAGCTACTATATTGGACAAAGAAGGTCTCTATCATTAAAAAAGTACAGACAAAGTGAATACAAATGTGTTCATCAAGATGTGCAATGCTAAGACAAGTGTAGGAACACATGTCTGTAATTCCAATAGCTCCTAAAAATGTTAAATAGTGGACTGTCACATGACCTAGTAATCTCATTCCTATATAACCAAGAAACATGAAAATATATACTCATATAGAAGCCTGAACATGAATGCCAGCGTAACATTATTCATAATTATCCCAAAGTGGAAACAACTCAGTTGCCCACTAACTGATGAATGTGTACACCAAATGTGGTATATAAATACAACAGAATATTACTCAGCCATAAAAATGAAATTATGGCTCATGCTACAACATAGATGAATCTTGATAGTATTGTGCTAAATGAAAATAAGACAGTCACAAAAATCACACAGTATATGTTTCCATTTGTATGAAAGTCTAGAATAGGGATATTTGTAGAGAAAGAGAGTAGATTAGTAGTTTGTTAGGAATGGGGGTAGGGTGGGAGCATGGTGGTAATAGCTAAAAATTTTTTGAAGTGATGAAAATATAAAACTTGATTATAGTGATATTTGCATATACCCACAAATATACTGAAAAGCCACTGATTTGCACATTTTAAGGTGAGAATTTATGGCTTGTAAATTATAGCTCAATAGTTACTTTTGAAAGCAAGTGATAGAACAATATATGTACTGTGAGCTCATTTATGTAAAAACCAAAACTACATATGCATGTAATATAAACATTTGTGAATATATGTAAATATATAGAGCATGATTTGGAAGGAAAACCACCCCATCTGTTAGCACTGGTTACTTCTAGAAAGGGAAGTGGGACTGCCTTCTGTAACATCACACTTTCCAGTTTCTCCTCCTACAACTCTGCTTGTTCCTCCAAGTCTCTTTGTAGGCATTCCTTCCTTTGCTCATTCCTTTAGTATCCACGTCACTCTTAGGCTTTCCTTGAAATAATGATACCATCATACATTTCCCAAGGATTCATTTCTTAATTCACTCATTCAACACATATCCGTGGAGCACCATCTAGGTACTATGCTAGATGCCAGACACTCAGCAGAAACAAAGCAAATGAGGTCACCAATCTTAGGGAGCCTACATTCTCTGGTGGGGAAGATATGTAATAAGTAAGTAATCTGATTAATGAAACTGACTATTTTAGATAACATTAAATGCCGGGGAGAAAATAAAACAGAGTGACATGATGCGACACTGGTTAAGGCAGGGGCTTCTCTGTTAGGGTGATCAAGCAAAGCTTTAGGAGCTGACTCCGGAACTGAGATCTAGATGATGAGAAAGAAGGTGAGCAAAGAACATCCGAGGCAGAGTACAAAGATCCTGAAGAGAATAATTTACAGCCAGGAGCATGATGAACAAGGACTGTAGTATAAAGTTCAGGAATTTCAGCATGGGCTATAGCGTATTCAGTCCTCCGTGGGGTGATCAGGGCCAGAGATGGAAGTTTGGGAATTAAAGGTATTTGAAGCTCTAGGGACAGATGAGTTAAGATGAAGGTGGAGAAAAAGAAGGGGGCCTAACACAGGGTCCTAACCTTTCAACCTGCTGTACATAAGCCTAACATGTTTCAAAATGATTTCTCTCCAATACTGGTCCTCCTTCTGTATTGTCTATCACCTATTCATCAGTGGGCTGAATAACATCAAATCATTGGGAGCATTTTTCACTGCTCACTGCCCTTGAGATTTAGTTTATCTCATCATCTGTTGATGATCATCATCATTTACTTTATGACTATCATTATCTTGTTCCTGGCTTACTACAATAACCTTCTAGCTTTTGTGTTGATGTCTCCTCAGTTCCCTGTGCATACTTCCATCTTTTTTGTCTATAATATTTTTGTGTTTACAAGTTCATGTATCTTTTTCTCTTGCCATCACTAGTCTATAAGCTTAATGAAAGCAGACAATTTGCAATTTGTTAAAGAGTTTTACATGGATCATTTAACTGAATCCTTAAAACAATCTTCTTTAATATAGGCATTATTCTGATCTCCATTTCTTGGAGGGAAAAATTATCTCAGAGACTAGGTATCTTGTCCAAGTTTCAGAATTAGTAAGTATGAAAATAGAATTTATCCTAGAGCTTCCTTGAATCTATGCTTTAAACTACTGTGGAGGACTACCTTCACTTTACCAGTATCAACTGTGACTCTAGAGCTATACTCGGTAATCCCCTATCTATAATAGTGATGTGTAACTAGGTAAATTTGAATATATTTCAAGAGCTCAAGGGCCACAGGTGGCTGGTGGCTATCACAATAGGGAGCACAGAACATTTCCATCATCATAGGAAGTCTTACATAACTTTGTTGCATAAAAGCACACACCTTAATACAGGTGTTGTACCCTCCTCCCTTCTCTGCCAGCCTGGCCCTTTTCACTTCAGGCCCAATTAAACTTTGAGGCACACACAAGGTAGTAACTTTCATCCTTGTTGCCTTCAGAACTCACTATCTCAACAATATCACTGTTTCTATTCCCCTACTCTTGTCCTCAATTTTGTTACTTCTTGCAATTCGTTCCAGGTGCCCCCAGCTCCAGCTCTGTGAATGCAGAGGTCTCGCTGTCACTCATGCTTAACCTGCCTCCAAGCCAAATGATGGGTTGGACAAATACCTTATTGTCACAGGCACAAAAGTCCCACAAAAATAGAGATTTCTTACTGTTGGCTGCAGTCATATCCTGTCTCACAACCTCCTTGCTCAGCTCTGCAGACGCTGAGTTCACCCTGATCCTGACTCACATGCTTTGAGAGCAGGTGGCTGCTGAGATGTAGCTTCTTGTGGTCACTGCAACTCCAATAGGGTTCTGGAACTGGTGAAAAGAACCTTTTAAGAGTCCACACTAGCATTTCCAATGTAAGTGAAATTTTATAGGATTCTAGAAGGCAGGCTGGTTATAATTTGCTCTACGCACAGGGAAGAGCAGGGCAGAAAGATACAAAGCTGCCAAGGACAAGAGATCTACAAAAAACAATCACTTACCCATGGGTATGACGATCTGATATAACAGGTTATTGAAAGCAGTGTATAATCCAAAAGGACTATAACATCCACACCTGACCTCTGAACTCCAGAAACTTTTTCCACCTAATGAATTTTTCTCAGACTGGCATATACTTTCCAAACTAATTCAATCTGATGACTAAATGAAGGCCAGGTAACAGACTAAAAATAATCAATTTGTCCTAGGGATTCTTAATACAGGTATTTGAGTCACCTGGACACATACTGCAAAGAGGGACTCTACCTGTCATGGCAGCAAAGATCTAAACCACCTAAGACTCTTCTTAGAAGTCCATATCAAAAGTGTGTATTGAATCAGGTGTCTCAAGGTAAGTGTTTCTGAGCCCACAATGCTGCCAATCACAGAGTAAAACTGTGGCCCAAATCAGAGACACCCTGTTGATTCTCCTAAAGAAGAAACCTGAGTCTACCTTGGCCACTGAGCAATGAGATGTAACAGGGAAAGGAAGGCTGGGGATAACTTTGCCCCATTCCTGTGATGTATGGCCACACTCATTCTGAAAACACAGTTACAAAATGGGGACAGCAAACATCAGGCAGTTCTGGTTCAGTCATGCGTGAAGAGGTTGTAGTACAATGACAGTGGAGCAAGGAAAGGACAAAGGGTCAGATACAGAGTCAAAGCTCCTGAAAACAAGAGTCTTGCTGGAGACATTTGTTGGTTTCTGTTTTTCTTCTAAAGGAGAGAAAGTAGGTCAGCACACTCAAAGAACTGTGACCAGGAACAGAGGGTTTGAGAGGGAGTCACTCACCGAGCCCTGCCAAGATGGAGCAGTAAGAGACACGCCTCTAATTTCAGGGCATTTGGCTGAGGTCACTTGGCTTTGGGGAAAACTCAGGCTGCTGATCCCCTGGTGTGTATTCCCTGCAGGCCCCAGGAGCTGAGTACAAGAGAGATGCAAGATTTTAAAATGACCATCTGACTGGGTGGTTAGCATGAGCTGACAAACGGGAATATTTATGAGCAAACTGTGCCTACTTTGGCTTTTACACAAAGTGGGCAAGGCTCATGGAGCTTTGCTAAATATAGACAGCACAGCGCGGGGCTAGGAAGCAGAATAGCTAGGTTTTATTCCCAGGTCTCTGAGTTCACCTTCAGCCAAACTCCCTGTGTGTCTTTCTATCACACACTGATTTACTTTTAGTAAGGTAGAGAGGGTACTGCATTTCCTTGTCTCAACTTTCCTAAAAAAATCCAAGTTGGGAAGAAAACCAGTTATGTTCAGATGACAAGTCGAGTAGCTGATACATCTATGGATTAGTACAAAGCCATGTGCGCCCATGGGGAGCCATGAGTTCTCCTAGACTAACCCCAGTGACTGCCCGTGCAAAGCCAAAAGGGGGCTACCTCGCCTCTGGTCTGTCAGCAGAGGTGCCAGGCACGCAAGAGGCACCAAGTCAGAACTGCTGCTTAACACATGGCTGAGCCAGACAGGTGAAACCCAAGAATTAAAGTAGGAAATTTAAGTAGAAAACTCAGAAAGCAGATAGTCCTGGCCTTTCTGCCTCCACCTTACTTGCCATTCCTTTACCAGCAAGATTCTACTTTCTCAGAAGCAAAGAAGCCAAAGCAAAGGCAGTGCTTTTCAGGTTTGTAGTTAGGAGGCAGATTCTCAGGGGGAAATGGAATTCTGCATAGTGCAGGGGAAGCCAAGCCCAAGGAAACTATGTTGTATTTCCGGCATCAAGACCCTTGGCCTTCCCCTCATCCTTGCCTACTTCCTTTGGAAGTTGCTGCATTTTTGTGCACCAAGAACATGTGGGAGGAGCTATAATTTTTTTACTATAAAACTACAAAGTGGCTATTGAATAAAATTAAGAGCATAAAGGAAAATAGAGTAACACATAAAAATCACTATAATCCTATCATTTAAACATTACTGAGCTTAACAGGGTGAATATAAATTCAGAGTATTCAGCCTTAGCTCTATTGCTTATTTGCAGTATAACCTCAGGGAAGTTACTGAACCTCCCAGCATGTCCTTATATGCAACATAAAAATAATCAGAGTTTTCAGCTCCAAATATTATTCAAGGATAAGAGAATTCATGGAAAGAGGTCTCAGAAGTGATCAATAAATGTTGGCTCTTGCCATCATTATCACTGTTCTATACCCATATATTCAAAAGCTTCCACATTAATGGCAACAGAATAGTTAAGCATGTGACTGTACTACTTCCCTAAAGTTAAAACATTTACATGATTTCCATAATTTCACTATTATTAAATGCTGCATCTATCTTCCTGTATCCATGTGATCATTTCTTTAACATTAACTTTCCAAAATTGAGTTTGCCAGATAAAAGAGTATAAACATTTTTAGGTTCTTGATATGGATTGCAAAATGGTTTTCTAAAAAGGATGTACTCATTCAAATATCTGCTCACAGGGCATTAAGAACTAATTCTTCCATGCTTTCATTAAAAGTGAACAATAATGCTTTTTAAAATGTCTTTGCTTGTGGGGAAAAATACAGTCCTGTTTTTCTTTGTTTTTAGGCCTTTGATTATAAGGGATGATTAAAAACATTAAGCTGACCTTTTAAGCTTGTAAGAACTCACATACTTCCATAGACTAAATCCATAAAGAAATTATCAAGGAGTTTCAATGAAAATAGAGACATTTTTATAAAAATAATTTATATTTGAATAGCTGATATGCCTATTTTAACCATTTTACTTAAAAAAATAGAAGACTTAAAAATACAGATGATATCTTAAAGTATACACCCTTCTAGATACTGCTTAGATGAAAACAGGTACAAAGGGAACTTATCTCAAACTGATAAAAGCCACATATGACAAAACCATTGCCAACACCATACAAAATGGGGAAAGCTGAAAACATTTCCTCTAAAATCAGGAACAAGACAGAGGTCCCTAACCATTTCTTTTCAATATAGTACTCAAAACTTCAGTTAGAGCAATCAGACAAGATGATGAAATAAAAGGAATACATATAGGAAAGGAAGAGCTCAAAGTAGTCTTTTAAAATTTTTAACTAATGTTTATGATACATTATAAATATATTTCTTGTGGGGAATTGGTGTGTATACATATTATAATTTGATTTTTAAATTTTCCTTCCCTTTTTGCAAATGACATGATCCTTTACATAGAAGACCTCCAAATAAACTATTTATTAGAATTCAGCAAAGTAGCATGATATAAAATCAATATACAAAATCAAAACCATTCCTACATATCAACAAAGAACCCAATGAGAAAGAAAGGGGAGTAAAACAATCCAAGTCATGGTAACTTCAAAAAAATTACATAGCTAGGTATTAATCTAACCAAGTGAAAGACCTCTATAATGAAAACTACAGTACTCTGAAAAAAGAGATTAAAGAAGACATCAGAAGATGGAAAGACATCCCCTATTCCTAAATACTGTCTAAATGGACATTCAACTAAAATGATATAAATTTAAATCAATTCCAAACAAAATATCGACAGCATTATTCACAGAACTAGAAAAAATCCTAAAAACTATATGGAACCAAAAGAGACCAAGGATTACAAAGCAATCCTAAATAACAAGAGCAAAGCAACAGGCATCATAATCCCTGATTTCAAGTTATATTACAAAACTACAGTGATATAAACAGCATGGTACTGACACAAAAACAGACATGTGGATCAACAGAACAGAAATGTGGTTGCAGAAACAACCCCATCTATCTTCAACAAAATGGCCAAAAACATATACAGGAGAAAAGATAGCCTCTTTAACAAATGTTTCTGGGAAAACTGGTTTTACCTGTACTTAAGTCAAAATGCATCAAAGACCTACATACATATTAAGACAGAAACACTGTATCTGCTGGAAGATAAAATTGGTAATACTCTTGAAGATATAGATACAGGTAAAGACTTTGTGAATGGGATCCCACTGTATAAGAAATAGCACTAAATCAACAAATAGAATTATATCAAATTTAAAACCTTCTTCACAGCAAAGGAAACAATCTGCAAAATAACGAGACAGGCTTCAGAACGAGAAAAAAAGTTTGCCAGTTACTCAATGGACAAGGGACTAATATCTAGAATATATAAACTGAAAAGAAGCTAAACACTCCCCAAAATAACACACAGCCAAAGAATGGGCAACTGAAATAGACATATCAGAAGAAATACAAATGGTCACTAAACACATGAAAAACTTTCAACATCACTGGTTACTAGAGAAATGCAAATTAAAACAACACTGAGATTCCATCTAGAGAAAGAATGGTTATTATCAAGAAATCAACCAATAATAAATGCTGCTGGGGATGTGGGGGAAAATGAGTCCTTCTAAATTGTTAGTGGAAATATAAAGTAACACAATTACTATGGAATTTAGAAAACTTACAATTAGAAATTTCATTTGACCCAGCTACACCTCTTCCAGGTGTTTCTCCAAAGAGTTGAACACATCTCATTACAGTGATATATATGCAGCATAACTCATAATAGTTAAATCTTAAAGTGTCCTATAAACCCATAAATAGATGAATGGATAAAGAAAATGTGGGATACACACACACGCACACACACACATTATTTGAGTCATTTATAGGAAAATAGATATACCTTGAGACTATAGTGATAAGTAAAATAAATCAGACATAGAATGCTAAATAGCTCATGATTTTTTTCTTTCTCACTTACTTTCTGCCATGTCATGGCAGTCAGATGCAGAGACAGGGATCGAGGGAAGGAGGCAGAAGACAGATCCTTTTCCTTCCCCAGTAACCCACCTTCTCCAACCAGGCTTCACCCCAAATCATATTAGCTATGAACTCATCAATGGACAAATTCACTAGAAAGTGTCAAGCCTGCATAATCCAATCACCTCCCTGAAGCTCCACCTATGAGAACAGAAAGTTTTAGGGGATATCTTGATATAAATAATAGATACACAATAATGAGATTCTCAAAATATAAACAATTTGAGTATCAAAATACTATAAAAGATGGCAGGACTGGGATTTAGCTCAGTGGCATAAGAGCCTGCCTGGCAAGCTCAAGGTCATGAGTTTGAGCCCCAGTACCAAAAAAAAAAAAAAAAAAAAAAAAAAAAAGATATGTACATATGTACACCAAATAACCAAAACAAATGTAATCATTATGTATTGCAAACATATACTAATTTGAAAAACAGAATTTTGCCAGTTACCTCAGAAGTTTGGTGCACGTTCCACATCAATTCTAAAATTAATCACTACGCTCACTTTTATGGTATTCTCTTCCTTGGTTTCCATCATAATTTTATTACCCAAGTTATAACTGAAACACTGTAGTTCAGCTTTTCTTTTTAAAAATATTTCTTTCACTTAATAACTGTTATACTTGTGAAAAAATTTCACTGAGCTACTTAAAGTGGTATATGCTCAAAATAGAAATTTTTAAAACAAAATAGTGATTATGGACGCATGGAAATATACATTTATACAATTTCCCATATCTTTGAGTAAATAAATAACCCTGCCTAAAACTCAGCATGTCATTTTCATATAGTTACATGTTGGTTCAGTTTAAAAGTAATGTCTCCAATATCAGTATAATTTTTTATTTAGAGAAAAAAAGCAAAACAGAAAAAGGATAGAAAAAATACAGAATTAAAAACATAACAGTAAGAAATCACTAGTTGATAAATTACATATTGTTACCTTAGAAGTAGTTGTTCAAGTTACAAAATCAGAGCATAAAAAGTAGACAGACAAACAATGACAGTACAAACTATTCTGTTTGATAGACTAACAAAAACTTAGTAGTATGGATATCTGTCTTGCACACTTAAATATACATGCAGTCATATCCTTTAGAGCACTTTCTTTCCCTTTCATTATCACAATATATATTATACATTTTGGATCTTATTACTCTTTCAATTT